ATTGCAGAAAGTAAAGCCCAAGTTGTGCAAATAATAAAAATAGCACAGAGGTTCTTTAAGTTCAACAATATTCGAATAAATAATACAAAGTCCAAACTCATAGTGATAAATTTGGAGTTGGAAAAGAGTGAAAAATGGATCAAGGTTGATAGGCACAAGTTATAGGTTGAAAAAAAGAAGGCGTTAACATAGCATTTGAGAGTTTGGATAAGTGCTAATCTATGTGAAACCTTAGTAGTTGAAACAGCAAAGAGTATTGTAAATTACTTTGTAAGAATATTAAGGTGTAAGAGCCTGTCTATTAGCCAACTAATTTACGTAAATAATATGTGTATTGTACCGAAATTAGCTTATATGTTATAGGTAACGAAAATAACTAAAGCAAGCATAAATAGAATATACTAGCCATAGTAAGACTAATTAAAAACAAGATAGGCTTGCCAGCGACAGCAGGCAATTATATAGTAATACATCAAGAATTAGGTCATTGTAGATCCTTGAGTAAGGAGTTATTTAGCAAACAAGTAGTATGCTTGCAAAACAGGCTTAATAGATTAGATCAAGTAGAGAAGATAATATAAATAAGACTAAATAAGGGTTACACATTAGCTGGGTTAGTTAAAGAACGTTAGCCAAAATCACAAAATCGGTATCTTAAAAAGGTCTGAAAGAACAATCTGGCAAAGTCAATTTTAGTTAAAGCAAATGAGTTAGGTGTGTCAATTTGTACTAATACTGAAAAGTGGCAAGTTTATGATATAGATCCAACATTAGTTGAAGTAATGGGTAAGAAAATTTATAGCATCTACTATAGCAATATTAAAAGCTTTAACTTATTCTATATAAACCAAGTGATTGATATAACAGATATGAGAATGATAACATGGAATAAGCTTTGTGCATTAAGAACAAAGTCATTGAAAGGCCACAAAGTGAAATGATTTAACATAATAGAAAAGAAAATAATTGGGTGTATGAAAAGTAGAGAGATAATTGACCAGTTTAAGTTACCAGAAGAGAATTTGATATGTATACAAACAAAGGCAGGGAAGTTGTCTGATGATTGAAGACATCATGAATGGGTAATCATCAACAAAGAGAATTCGGAGTCAATAGTTGGTAGAATAAGAAAGAAAAGAAAGTCACAGATGTTAGTTGATTATTGGATACCCAAGGCCTCAACCAATAGTAAAGGTGTGTTAAGAAAGTGCAAACATTGTAAGTTGAGTTAGGTAGCTGAGATCGATAATTGTCAACAATAGGTGAAGAAGAATAAGATTTTAGAAGCAATCTTCAAGATAAATATTGATGATGAAGAGAAGGTGCCATTGCTGCTAAGAGAGATTAAAGGTTTCAAGTCAGAGAGTGGTGGTTTAACTAAAAGAGAAAGTGAAAGAGAAATATGTAGTGTAGTAGTAATGGACTTTTATAAAAAAAGTTTAATTATAGAGCAGGGTTTTGATCAAAAGCTCAAGGCACTGTTAATACAGCAAGTGGAGGAAAACTGTAGTAGAAATATAGATAGTAGTGTATATTATACAGATGGGTTTTTGATTAGAAGTAGTGTAGATTGTAAGATGGGTGCAGGATGGGTGCAGGTAGACAATTTGGAGAAAACAGTATTTGCAGAGGGAAAAATCAGATTTGGTAAATGGCTATCGTCAACAAAGACTAAGCTAGTTGCGGTGTTAATGGTAGTGTTAACAGCCAGATACAGAAGTGAGGTTGTAGTCAAATTAGATAGTGCTGTGGCAATTGCAAGCCTTGAAAACACAATGATGCTGACAGATATAAGGGTGTGGAGTAAGAAGCAGAATGCTAGTTTAGTAGTGAAGATTAAAGATATATATAGATCAAAGGGTTTAGTTCTTCAGTTGGTCAAAGTAAAAGCGCATAATAAGATAAAATGGAATGAAAAGCTGACCAATTGGCAAAAGAAAGCACCTGCTTAACTCAGTGCTCGATATTACTCTTGGAGAAAAATCATCACAAAAGATTTACAGTTCATCTTAATGAAACACCAGTAGAGGTTACAACAAGAAAACTGATCAAGATGTTGATAAGTTTCAAAACTGGTGCAAAGTGACATAACTCGAATACTATCAGATTGTATGAGAATGAGATAGCTTTGTGGCACCAGAACAAGAAAGCAACTGGAATTAGGTATAAGTCATGTGTAGCTAGCAAAAATATAGCCTTCTGAATTAAATATATTAATGATAGCTTGCTAGTTCTGACTGTGTTGAAGAGAAGAAAACCCAAAATATATTTAGACAATATATGCATAAGTTGCAAGAGTGCAAAAAAAGATTTTGACCATCTGGTAGAGTGCACAGGGTATATCAATTACTAGGGTATTGTAGAGGAGGTTGCATACTTACTCATATAGAAGAAGTTAGATCGTGCATATAAACAGACAATATCTGTTGATAGGTTTGGGCTATTGATTAGCAGTGATACAACTGAGAAGAAGTTCAAGCAGAGAAGAGACTATATTAGAGGACTTATACCTAATGATGCGGTGGCAGAGTTGTTAAACTTAGAGCTACCTAAGAAAATTGTAAACCTAACACTTGGTAGAGAGTAGCTTTTTTGATGAAATTTGGCGAATTAGATATAATGCAGTTGCTAAGTGGAAAAAAGAAATTGGTATAGATACAGCAATGAAGAGAAGTAACCAGAAAAGTCCTGTTAATGAGGGTGCTGTTACTGTTAAAAGTTCAACATTGAGAGTTGGGAAAAACAAGTCTAAAGATGAGATAAGTAGTATAGTTAAGTTAATAGGTAATGAGAAAGAGGCGGAAGTTATGCAGTTATTTAAGAAGGGTGTTGTTGAATGGGTTGAGAGTAGTTCAACCTCATTTTGGTTTAGTTCTTGATAGAGCTGACAAGGTCTTCCAACCCACATATGGGTTGGTGCAACAAGTTACATCTGGGTGCACATAATGTAACCAGGTGATACCGGGCTTGTAATTTTTAATTAGATATTATTAGAATTTTTAAACTTTGTTTTTTAGTCTAATAGTAATATAATTTGTATTTGAGCACCAACAAGACTGTCAAAGAATTAAAAAAAAAAAATAAGCTAATTAAATTTAAGTGTATTTTCATACTCTATTATTTTTCTAACTAAATTAATATAGATAAACAAAATTAGCAAGCTGCTATTATGTAATAATAGTTATATAAAAAATTTTTGTACTGTATTCACAATTAAATTAATAACAAGTTTATATTCAATTAATGCAAATAAAATTACTGTAGATAAATAGTATTGTTAATATAAACTTTCACTATAGATACCACCAAAATTGATTTTTGAAAAAGGCTTATTTCGTCTTTATTAAAATTTTTTATAAGAAAGTGTATCTATTTATATTCCTTATAATTTCATCTATTCAAAAAAAGTGTCAAAAAATTTCATCTTTCTAGTAAAATAAATTCAAATCAATTTCATCTTCAAATTTTAATTTCAGGTTTTAGAACCCAAATAATTTTGTCAGCATGTATACTTTTCACAACTTGAATTACTTATAGTCAAATCTCTCTACAGTCATGCACTCAGTTCTAAGAAATTCTGTGCTTATAAGCAATTGTGTCTGTATAGAGGTCAAATTTCTTATGTTTTATATAAGTTTGTTATAAAAATCAATATGCTTATAATAAGGGTGTGAATATGGATAGTGACTGTATAGAAAGCAGACTGTATTTTAATTGTATTACTTACTAACCAAATTAATAGCAAATATTTGTCTTAAGTTTATTTTTTAAACAGTTTGCTTTAAGGTGATTCTAATATCAATTGATCATTTTCTTAAACCTTTTTATTCGGAAAATTCTTTGTGGTTCTTAAAAATCTACTATCCTTTATTTATAAATATTAATATTCATGAATTCAAAACGAAAATCTAATTCAAATTGAAGTCTCAATATTAATCATTACTGATGGGAGTTATCTCGAAAATTCCATTTTTTTGAAAATCGCATATTTGACTCAAAATAATGCCCATGCGCGTCCCGAAATGACGCGCTCTACATACATAGTCTGAGGAAAATTATTAGTACTTTTTTCTTCAAAATTAGGATAATGATTCGAATTATCGCGCATGCGCGTCCGAGGTAACGCGCAGGATCTCAAAATAACGCACAGATACGCGTTATTACGCGCCTATACGGTAAGCATAATAAACAAACCATTCCAGCGGTCAGTGTTCGAAGTTGCAGATATGCCAATAAAAATCTGGCTAGTATTTTTTATGGCGATTCCCATCAACTTGGCTGGCCAAGCTTAGATATCTTCTAGCAGCCCAGCCATTGCGTAAAAAATAATATTTTACTTGTCGTTTGAACTGAAAATTCTTTATATGAACAATAATTCCTAACTTTATCACCCTAGCTTTAATAACAAGACTTCATCGCACTTTGCTTTATGATATATAGGTTGTGGTAATAATCATTAAACAACTAATGTTTTTTTTTTTTCTGAAACAAATTATCATTTAAAACAAACTATAAGTACATATTTAAATTTTACATAGCTAAATCGAAAGAAATATATTCAAAAATATGGAAATCATATGTTAAATATCTTGGTCGCATTAAATTAATATTCCCTATCCTAGCAATGTCATTAGAAACTTCCTATGAATCCAAATTAAGTGAGTTCAAAGCCGGTATTGGAATGAATAGCTAAGTAAAAATTAAATAATCAGCATATCGATACACGATTATAAATACATAAGCGAATTGAGACTAGTAATATTTTACCATATTTCAATTTTTCTTTTAATATTGATTTCTGAGGATAAGCTATAAACATATTCAAAAAAAGTCAATTATCAAATTACTAATATAATTAATTATATATTAAAATGGCAATTATTTAAAAAAGAGTTTACCCGGAAGCTTTAATAGATTAAAGCTAAATATAGATAATAAAAACATTAATGCTTATAATCAAACTTATTTGATGAAATTTTATTGCAGATATATAAAAAAATTTACCATGTAGAACTAGTAGGCAATCTTCCTTTAGATGCCGATTTGGAGTTTCCAAAACTGAAAAAGGCTTTAACTGGTGCAAGGACAGGACGTGATTCAGAATCATCATATTCCATAGATACCAAGCGGATAGTAAATTGTGGTTGCAAGTACCTAAAAATCATTATAATTATTATTATTACTATTATTATTATTAAACGTATATGTATAATATAAAATTGAAATTAAATAAAACCACTTTACTTAAATCCGCCAAGTGGAGGCTAATCAAAAGATCGGTTTAGTAATTATTGTAAGTTAATTTCATAATATTTATAAACATTAATGTTAAAAAAAAAAATACCCTCGAGCAACTTGTGACAAATTTTAAAAACGCATTTTTATCTTTAGAATCAAACTCCTCTAATATCGACCAAAGGTTCCTTATAGTTTTATGCTGATCGAAATATCCGGTTTGATATGTAGTATGTTGGCGTAAGTCTGATATGTCTATTTAGAAAATGAGATATGAGTTATAGTCAACCACACAATAGAATGCTATAAGTTGTAAAAATCAAGGTTACTCCAATCAACGTCTTCTCCGGACATTACACTAGTTAGTTAATAATAAGAGAATTGATTCAGTGATTGTAAGGGAATAAATACTAATGAAAATTTTTCTTACCGTTTCAGTTCTGGTGGTGAAAACATTCTAAGTCGATTTATTGGTATCATGGATTGAAAGCTGAAGCAAATATATTAAAATTAATAGAATGTCCATTAAATTATATAAATAGATTTTGTTCAAATACAAACCCACTGATAAAAGCTTCTGTTTGTTCCTTGATTTGCTTATTCAGTTTATAATCTGCCATAAGATAGATATACTATTGAAAGTATTGTTACTGTAATGTTACAATTAATGTCAAAATAATTAGAAAGGTCGCGAACTAGCTTTAGATCAAACCTGAATTCTGTTGTAATTTGTAACAGCCATGTGTGAACCACCCTATATCAAAAACATATTAGTATAAATTTAAAAATATTAGTACATACAAGTATATGCACATACTGCTCTAAGTTCTTTTGATCTAATCTGTCCATTGATCTCTTCATCTACTACAAAATATAAACACAAATCTTCAACATTGCCTAAAATGGACCCAAAATTTAGTTAAAATTTTTTTTAAAAGATGGGACTAATATAAAAATATATATTTCCTCACCTTCATATCTCTTCAAAAATATTAAATTCTTCCATAATTCATTATTCCAACCAATAAGGTCTTCTAAAAATACACCTCGTCCAGAAATCTTGCTTAAAAAAAATTCTGCAAATTGGGAATCTAATAGAATTTTTTCTTTCATTGCTCTTGCAATCATTCGGCCCAAAAATGTATAAAATGGTAATTTTGAAGCTGTACTATGGGGATTGGGATAAAGAGAACCATCAGGTGTGACAGCAAAGAGACCGCATTTTGGATCAAAAGCTATATTTGATTATTTTTAATATATTAAGCATTACTCATCACGTTAATTATCAATTACCAAAATGAAATTGCTATATACAAACCTTCAGCTATAAGTTGAGTAATAAATTCCTTGAACGGACCTCCTTGATCCACACCAATTTCATCCACGCCTATAGTAATTACAATTTATAATTAAATTATGTTATTATATGAAGATATTCCATTATGGATGGACATTCAATGAAATTGACTGTATTAAAATTACCAGTTTCATTTACAAACATAACTCGAATCTGGCCTTTAATCTGCGCTGCAGTCAATCTTCCTAATTGCTTGTATCCATCATCTAATACATGATCGCGTCTAATCTTGATTACAATATCCGACCAATCACTGATAAAAGAATCATCAGATTCACGAAATATATCGAGTCTGGTCTCAAAAGGAATAGTATGAGGCAATAGATTTAGAATTTTCACAGAAATAGGATCATTATTACGGATTCGTTCTAAAAATGAAGTTCCCAAATTATTGGAATTGACTATAGATGATTTTTTGAGAAAGTTTGCTAAAGATAATGGTAAAGATTTTTTGGGGTCTTTAATAAGAAGCCATGTATGATCCGGGCTAGTAAATATGCGCCTAGTATCACGCGAATGCAATTGAAGAAGTACTCTTCGTGCAGATTCAAATATTGCAGGAGGATTACCATCGGGTAGAGAATTACTAAGAAGAGCAAAGCAAAATTTATTAAAGAATGTAGCCATAGGTCTCAAATCACGTTCAATTGAAAAAGAAGTTTGCATTTCATATAATTCGTCATCATCTATGGTTCTATTAAAAACAAAGAATATTCATTAGACAAATTAAAAGTCATTTGGCGAACTCATTTTAGACAATAAAAAATTTACTAACAATAACAATATACCACAAGATTCGCAAAATAACTCTAAAATCCCGATTAGTGGTTCTTTTTCAGGATCTTTAATTACAGTTTCAGATAAAAAAATTTTCATTCGCCCTTTAGGGCCTAAACACATCATAAACTGCCATAGGGCAGGTACAAGACGTGGAATGAAAGTCAAATTCATCATGATATCATGTTTTTGCATGTTAAGTAATTTTGAGAGCATGAGATAAAGTCGACAAACATCTTGAGTATCAACAGCTAAGAGAGTCATCTGACTAGAAGTTAAACTTGACTTTTTGTCGTCTAAAGTTTTTTTCTGCGATGACTTATTGGAAGAGTCGAGATTATTATTAAATTGTGAGTCGAATTTAAAATTCAAGATGTGATTGAATGATCGAAGTAAGAATGGTTTCTGCCATAAATATTCAAGTTGTGATATTAATCTATTGAAATGAGATGTCGAAATGTTTGGATCAGTTGTTCCGGAATACCAAGTGAAGATAGGATGATATTGATAATGGGTATTAGATTGTTTAGTAGAAACAAATTTTTGACAATGTTGCAATGGAGAAATGATTGATTCGATGAAATTATTAAATGTTATTTTAAGTTTGTTAGATGGAAGAGAAATTATATCTATTCTTGACATTAGCTCTACCAAGTTTCCAGCGAGAAATATAGTGTCATTACCTGTGATCGCTTGTAATATTTTAACCGCACGATTAGGAGTACACATAGTGTAAGTTACTCGCGATGGAATATTATAAGTTTTGAACATCTCTAAACAAGCCTCATCAAAGCATGATAACAAACAAGGGGTTGTCAATATATGACAAATAAAATTATTTAAGATAATTACTGAACGATCTTGTACATTGCTTTGAGACATTTCCAATGATTGTGAATTGTTTAATGTCATATCAACTTCATTATTTAAACTTAAAGGAAACAAGCAGCATCGAAGGCATGCCATTAGCCATAATTGAGACGATTTTAAAAGTTTCTTATCATTATTTACTAATTCAGCTTTTGCGGCCCTTGATTGAAGAGAAAGAATGGAATTTACACGCAGCATTATTCCATAACCAAATTGCTTGTAAAATCTCTGATTAATAAGATAATCATGAAGTATTACAAGTTGTTGACTCCATATAGAAGAATAAGAAGCAATAGTTCCTTTGACAATATAATTTTTAGGATCAAGAAAGTATATAAGTAGCCGTAATTCCGGACCGGAAAGATACAAAGGCTTAGAAGAATTTGGAGTAATAGTTTCATGTAAAAAACCGACAACACAAATGACACACTGCCAAAGTATTTTTTTCATAATTTTCAACATCAACACTCTGTGCCGTTCATTAAGCAGTAGAGAATGAAATGGTACAATTGTATTTGAAGTTTCTTGTGTTTGAGACTTTGCAGGTATTGAAGGAGTAGTTGTGGATAAAATCATTTTGCAAAGATACGAAAATCTCGAAAGATCTTTCGCATCATTAGACGGATTGAAGAAAGCAAACATCAAGTATGAATAATCAAGAATTTCAATTGAGGAAACGGAAAATGTTGAATTTGTCCCGTTGCCATCAGAATATAAGACATCATTATCCCATAGTTCTCGTAAATGTTTGATATCTTTCTTTCTTTGAAGATGTTTTTTATATGCAGTTTGTATCACATTGACTGCTTGCGCATGTTTTTGTTCTTCTTTTTGCTTAACACGTTGCAATTCTCGTTTCTCACGCTCTGACCTAGCCTTATCAACAAATGCTTGCTTTTCAGCATTTTTTTTGTCAAAAGAAAACATGTCGATCTTAATTATTAAGGTTAATTGAGCTACATACTGTTACATGCAAACTTTATAAAAGATAATGGTTACACGATGGTTATGAGACCAAATAACATGATCTGTGCAGATTGCAGATACGGTCTATTGTCCGAAGATAGGACGAATACAAATAACATTTTCCATTGGACGAAACCAATTACTGTACATCACTAATCAGAGTGGTTAAAAATTTCGCAATGATTACATATTGATTAAACTTTTTTTTTATTAAATAATTCTTTTCGCTGTTTAATACTAACGTTTTGCTATTTTCAGTTTTTCTTTTTTTAAATAGTCCTTTTCGTAACATTTTGCTCTTTTGAGTTTTAGCACTTCAAATTTTTTTAGTAAATAATTTCGTGTATACGATTAAATAAATTTTCGCAAATTTTATCAAATATTACTGTAAAAATTTATCATATAATGTAAAAAAATTTTTAATTGAAATGCTTTAATTATACTGCTATACGAAAATCCGAAAACAAAATAAGTATTGATTTTTTTTTTTTTTTATGTATGAAAATTTACTTTCAGTATTACTAATTAGCAAACTAGCACCTATTACAGTATTGTATCAAGGTTTCTGTACGATTTCTGAAAGCTATTTTGATTTAAGACTAATTATGGCGGTTTGCAAAAAGGTGTGACCCCATGATTTTCATAATGATGATGCGGAGAATCTTTGAGATTCTAAATAGAGAATCTAAATTTAAGAATCATTAAAAATCCGTAATAATTATATAATTATTTGATCAGTGATTAATAGTGAACAATATAAAAAGCTATTTATGTATTACGTAAATATTATTATATTGTTTTCCTTTTCATAATTCTTTATCATATTTCTCTTGAAAAATGGCCGATTTTCAAGAAACAAAATTAAAATATTGTCGAGAAACTTGTTTAAGTTGCCGAAAATGCATGTATTGTGGAATTGATTTGCAATAAGAAAAATGTGATTGCAACTTATCTGAAGTGCCACATAAAAATAATCGGACAAGTGCTGTCAAATATGCGTTTACATGAGTATTTGATCCAAATTGGAGTAAAGAAAAAGTAGAATTTATTCATCAAAAAATAGAACACTATAATTATTTATTAAGTATTAAAGAGGCTTTTAATTTTACTTTATGCTCTCGATGCAATAGTGTTTTATTAAGATTATCTACAAAAGCAAAAAAGCTTAATACAACAAGTTTAACCCTTGTAAATGATGATAACTATGAAATAGAAACATGTGATCTTACTACTCTAGCAAGTGATGCTTCCGAATCTGAAGAAAAACTTGATTTGAATTTTAATGAAAAAGGATATCATGAAAGAGAATATAATTTTAATGATGATGAGTCTTTATCTAGTGAAGAAGTTGAATACGAATATAATTATAGTGTTTTTATTAAATCTGAAAATAGAACATCTCTTCCAGCAAAATGGTATATTGCCAAAGTATCTACAGTTGATAAGCTACTCTCTAAAATTCATATAAATATTGAAACTTTAATGGGGAATAAACTAGTTGATCCAAATGACTATCGTATTGCATTCAAATCTGAAAAAGCAGCTGGAGCGGGTACCCAACTAGTTGATATTCAAGACTTTAAAAAATTTCAAGTCAAAAATCAAAAATACAAATCTAAAAACATCAATATGGCTTTTTTTATAACATTTATTAAATCAAATCTAAAGCGAAAAATAGATGTAAATACAGTATATTAAGAATTTTTTATATTATCTTTATAATATAATAATATAAAATAACTTTAAATATTTATTTAGGAACTTGAGCCCAATAATATTCAGATAATAATATTGTTTCAGATTCAAGAAACAAAAATTCTATTTCTAAAACTTCAAATCTATCATCACTTGAATTATCAATTGCAAAAAATGTTTTAGAAATTTGCAAAGAAAACCATTGTATAATTTATAATCGACCATGCTTAAATAAAAATGGAGCTAAAGAAAATCATATTAAAATCACTTTCATAATGTTTTCGATTTGGGTATCTGAAATCATAAGTATAAATTATATACAAATTTATAATTAATATATAGCTTATGTATATTATAATTAACTTTAATTATACTATTTAGAATAAAGCAATGGCATCACTAACAGAACCACCCACACATCCTTTATTCACATATAAACATTTAACAAAAACAAAAACATCTTCACAACTGCAATCTAGTTTTACACAAATTCAACAATCTGACTTAATCTTAATGCAACAATTCAATTTCAATTCAATACAACAATCCAATTTGATGCAACAATCTAATTCAATGCAACAACCTAATTCAATACAATAACCTAATTTAATATAGCAATTTGATTTGATACAACAACCTAATCCAATGCAACAATTCAATTTGATGCAACAACCTAATTTAATACAACAACCTAATTCAATACAATTACCTAATTTAATACAACAAGCTAATCTAATACAACAAGCTAATTTAATGCAACAAGCTAGCTTAATACAACAATCACTTTTTCTGGGTCAACATTATATACCAAATTTATTTTATAATCCATTTTCAACATATAATTCCTTTGGAATACCTTTTTCAACACCAATTCAATTATCTTTACAACAAACATTATCTATAATTGAAAATTTTTTAAAATTTGTAGATGAAAGCAAAAATACTAAAGATTATTATCAAAAATTTTTATCAAAATTTAAGCAATAAAAAATTTCTGTATAACTACTTGCTGAATTATCAAATAAAGATTTCATAAAATGTGATGTAGATACTATTGGTGTACGTCAAACACTTAGAAAATATACTGCAAAATATAATATAATTTCTACCTTATTATGTAATAAATTGTAAATAAATATATATTATTTATAGCCTGCTGTATTAAAAAAATTATTAGAATACAAAGGAGTAATTTGAAAACATGCAACTAATAATGGATATTTAGGATCTAAACAACTTTCTACAAAGTACTGATATCTTTTTAATGTATAAAAAGCTAATTTGATTGGGTTTAAATCAGGTGAATAAGAAGGAAGAAATTCTAGTACTCCAAATGCATTTAAATATTCGAGCAATCTATCATTATAATGAATTCTTGCATTATCAAGTATTAAAACACTTCATTTATGTGGAAATGGATTCATTTGAGGAAGCTAAAATAATAAAAAAAATAATTTAAAAATATATATGTATTGCAAACAAATATAAAAATATATAATTATATTTCATACCACTTAAAAAATTACAAACTCTTTAAATTGCTCTTTTGTATAACTACCCTCCATAATATCAATAGCAATTATACTATTTAAGGTTAATGCAGGCAAAAGTGTATAATGCTTACCACGAAGAAACACTACTTTTTTGACTGCCCTTGTATTGATTTCAGAATAACCATATCCTCTAGAAATGGTTCGTTCATCTTTAGATGATTTATCTAAAAAAATCAATTGGTCACTTTTATATTGAGAACCAATTCAGACTATAAAAGCACTACAAAGTAATTCATTACGCTCTTTTGCAGCTTTATGCAACTAAAATAAAAATTAAATAAAAATTTTATTTTATTTATAAATTAATTTATACATATAATAAATACTTTTTTCTTGTTATTCCACAATAAGTTAATGAACACCACATAGTAGAAATTAAAACATTTTTGCCACATTGGATTTCTATTTGTTCAACAATTTCATTAAGATACATGTCCGGATTTTCTTGAATAATGGTTCATAAAATCTATTATATAATATAATATATAGTATAAATTAAATAATACAGTAATATACATATATTAAATAACCCACATTCATGTCATTTCGATTAAAAATTTTATATTGTCCAGGTATTTGTTTCCATGGATTTGTTACGGTTCCCTATTTTTTATATAATTGTAACACTTTCTTTACCAAACCTTTACTAATATAAAGAAGATTCGTAATTTGCAATATTAAATAATTATCATAATATAAAAAAACTATACACCATTTCAAGTCATCACTATATGCAGGAGGCATTATGATATTTTATTGAATTAAAATATAAATACAGAAATATAACGATTATACATATATGATAATAAA